TATATTTGTTATTTTATAATTTCTCTAATAAGAAATCATAAATATATTTGAACAGAATATATAGCAAATTTCCAATGAAAATTTACACGTTTTTGTATTTATTTATCGTATCTGAGTTCATCCACGCAAATGTGATATTGTGGCCACGTGGGTACTCATTCGCCATCTCGGAGACACATTTATTACATGTTATTTATGTCTCTGGCCATCTCAACGGAAGCAAAAAGCTCATGATCGTAGGAGCAATATAATGTAACTACCCGATTTTATTTTATCCTTCCTTTCTTTGATGCTTTTTTGAGGGGAAGGGGGGGGGGGGGGAGGGGGTTACAACTCCAGCTAGAATCACATCTTAGTGAAGTAGGCATTCTTTTTCCGCCAAAAATTACAATAACATTATTTCCATTTCTTAGCATTGAAATAAATCGAAATAATCAAATCACGTCAATATAACCAATATTTTCAATTTGAAATGTGTCTAAGTGATTGCAACTTGAATTTGTTCGCCATGTTTACTATTACCTTCATTGCTGAGATTTATAACGCGGTAAATATGAAACATAAACTAAGGGCAAAGAAATATTTGATTCCATGCAAAAAATTCACATTATATTTCTTACGAGAGTGTAATGAAATTAATAGCATTATTGTAGGCTTATCTGCTTATAGCTTTGTTATGTAAATACATGTAACACTGTGTAATGACCTCTGACCCTGGTCTGTCAACAATACTGTGAACACCCCCTGAGTTACCTGGGAACCAGGTATAAGCAGTAAAATCCTATAGCCATGTTGTCAACAACACGTACCTCCTGTCTTTAATGTATGCCCTTGTGTTTATCGTCCTGCCTGTTTGTCCGCGTGTATGTTCATGCATATGTATCATGCATTCGTAGTGTTATTTAAATAATAAAATGCTTTCTTAAGTGGTTCATGTGAGATATGCATGACACGAGCATAAAAGTAGCATTGCAGAAAAAAAAAACATGTAACCCGTATTAGCGGATTATGTAATTTTTTTCTGCAATGCTTGCGCCGTGCATTTCCCACGTGAACCATCAAAGAAAGCATTTTATTGTTCATATTTAAATTCACCTCCAAAAAATTCTTTAACTTTCAAAAAAAAAGTGGGTGAAATATGTAAATTATTGTTATTGATCTTCAGTACGTTATATAGAAGGGACAATCTAACTGTTCTTCTAAATATGTAAAGGTTGTCTTGATAACTACGCTTAATAGGTAGTCTGAAGTCAGCCCTTGTGGCCCGTACAGTTCATTCTATCAATGCTGCTAAAATATCGATCATTTTTAAAATATAATCCATGCATAGTAAATCTCAAAACTATGAGGTGGGACAAAATTAAGATCATAAAAAAATATTTATTCATTGATGAAATGAATTATATTTAATCGTAGCAAACAAACTAACGTTTTATTAAATCGCCACAAGAAAAAATACACCAGCGTGAAAACAAGTTGTCTTCTTCAGCAGCCATGACAGTTCTCATGTGATGTAATGACTTTTGATTGCAAACGTTTAATACTGCAGTAGATTAACTTTTGTTATCACTAAACAGATATATAAATGTTTATGAGGTATGTATTTTATTTTTGCTGCATTATTTACGTATGAAGTAAGAAAAATTCCCATGTTCAGTTCAAGATCCGCTACCAAATTCTCATTGGCTGTCCCAAAATAAAATCGGTCAAGGTCAGTAAACTTCAAAGTTTGCGGTAAACTCAGACTTTACTAAATATTTTGAAAAAAAATTATGCTCTGAATGATTACATCAAAACATTTATTTTAAAATGTATCTGAATACATTGTGTGATTTCAAAAAAAAAAAAAATGGAAATGATATTGTATGATTCAAAAAGAATTGTAACCCCCCACCCCCATCCCCAGGAAAAGGTTCATTATTGCAGCTAGAAGTACTTTCAAGTTCCTACTTAGAATCCCCTTGGTAAATGTCCGATAATATGCACATGGATGCATTCATAACAATGTCAACCCGTGCATGCACGGGTCAAAGTCTAGTAGCATTGAAAAGTTTAAATCTAAAAGCGGCCTCACCCTACCCCAAAGTGGAGAGGGGGGTATGATCTGAGCAAATCTACACTAACTGATTCAGAAGATACTTCCTTATTTATATGACTAATCATGGCTTTAAAAGATTTGTTATAAATTTCTCTTATATCTTCCATCTAAAACACTGATCTTTTATTTTGGCCCCGTTCTACCCCCTTTGTCATCATATCAAGAAGCTTGAATCTAAGCTACCTGAAGAGAAGATGCTTAAATATTAATATGACCAATCATTCCTGTATATTCCTATGTAAAACTTAGATCGCCTAACATGGCCCCACCCTAGCCCCAAGGGCCATGATTTGAACAATCTTGAATCTACACTACGTGAGGATGCTTCCTCATAAATATTATAATCATGGCTTTGCTTTTCTTGACTAGTATTGCCGATGCAATACTCTCAGAATGCTTGTTTCAATAGAGTCTACATGATAAATTAGAATTTTTGATTCGATTAACCGATTAATTGGTTGGGAGTTCAACGGTTAACCGATTCATAATTCTGTATTCCATTGTATGGAGTACAATGGAATATTGTACACCATACAATGGTGTACAGTTGTCGACTTGTCAGATGTTATTGTTGTCTTGTCAGATAATTATGTCGATTTGTCAGATTTTTTTGTGTACTTGTCACTTATTCACGAGTTCAAAAAATTCAACATAATGTGTCCATGCCCAGATTAGGCCATCAGTTAACAACATATTTTTTTGACAAGTCGACATAAGTCTCTGACAAGTCAACATAAAGATCTGACAAGTCGATATATTATTGACAAGTCAACATAATTTTCTGACAAGTCGACATAATATTGTATAATTACTTGGGAATGAGACCTGCTCCTAAAATTTTAACCTGCTTCAAAAAACATTAACTTGGTCATTCTTTAGCTGAAATTGCAGCATCTGAAACCTTGTCTGGTACAATGAAACACAATAGAAGCATTCTCCATGCATCTCAGATTAATGTAGGCCATATAAGTACAGTGTATATTTAAAAAGAAATCTGCTCGAAAAATTTTAACCTGGGATGCCGACACCCCAAACTTCATTAAGGTGAGCTAAATATCCCACAACATATAGATATTAATTTCAAATAGCTTCTGTACTCTACTCAGATAAAAATATTTACATTTCTGGATTACCGGTACAACTACAGGTATACCAAATGATGAGCCCATTTCACCTTGTATAAACTATACTCATAAGTCATCTGTTATTGATAACTTTACAGTCTCATTCAGGTAAATATTACCACGAAAAAGAAGAAGAAATTTTTTTTTTCCACTAGATACTTTAGATCCCTTGTGCATATATTTGATTTAAGTTTTAATGTCCACTTCCACTCCCTTTGGATCCACCGCTCACTACACTGGATTTTAATTTAATATTTATGTTTCTCTTTGAATTCAATGATGAAAGTAAAATATATACTTTGATCCACCAAAAAATATTTTGGATTCCAACAGTTAATATAATAATTTCCATGTTAATTTAAAGTACAGTGTAATAAATATAATAATTTAAATAAATGAATATCTTAAAATTTTGATTCTCATTCCCATCATGCTCTTTGGATTCTACATGATGTATATGGAATTAAATATACCTTAATCATAGCATCAAATGTTTCATTTCAGTCATTGATTCAATCAGTGGCACATGCAGCTACCATGTACATGTATGCTTGTATTCCAAAGCATCCTCATTTCCAACAAAAAATAAATGATAATAATAATTATATACATGAATGCTTATTTCTTTGAAAAAGAACATATAATATTGAATCAAAACATTTGTTTCATTAATCAAAGATAAATGAATTGCTCTGTGTATATTATCTTCAAACTGTGCAACCTTATAGACTCATCTATCACCTTAATTAGTACACGTATTAATTGTTGTCAGTTAAATTGTTGTGGTACTTCAGGGGGCTTGATCCTCTCCCTGAACCCACTTTGTGTATAAAGGGAGGGAGGTTTATTGCTGCACCAGACCCCCTGCAATCATTAAAGCATGCATCCACATTATTGTTGTCTAGCTACCCCACTGTCAATTAAATATTATCATGAAAGTAGAAAAAATTCAGTGATCCAGTACACAAATTTAACTGTGAATGCTCGTAACATCGCAGAAAGTACGACCACAATGATACATGCAAGTGTCCATTAGGCTGACGGGTTACGAAGTTTTGATTAGTACATTTTTTAAAACTGGTTACTTATGGAAGAAGAGGAATGCCACTTGACGTAACTATTCTTAAAAAATATAAGGAACGGTGTTAGAAAGGATCGACCAATTTAGTGAAAATCTCCATTATAGTGGGACAAGTGCCCATAATTGCAGTGAACTTTTGCGAGAAGCGCTGACTTTTACAGTCTACGGCATACCTAGGACAAAATATGGAAGCTCTTTTGCGATATAAATTTTAGCTAAACAGTTAAAGATACTAATGGGTCATTTCAAAGTATGTATAACGTTTCTTAGGAAGAAAACGGTAACTACCCTATCCTCAATCCCCTCTCTTCCCAATTTGATCAACTCCTGCTAAGTTTTCCTTCTGGAATGTTTTTTTTTTCTTATTTGATTCCTTAAGGAAGAGAGATTACGAATAAGGTATTTTAAGCTGTTATTCTGCCTACCATCATATTTTGTGTTGACTGTATACGTTTAATCATGTCAGAACCCCTAAAACTACACTTATAGCCACTATTAAGGTTTTTTATTTAAAATCTAACATCCATTCCGTACCTCCATACATAGCACAGATTTAAATGTCAAAGTAAGCCGTCGATTGTAAAAGTCAGTGCTTCTCGCAAAAGTACAGTACTAACCCATGTGCATAAATACTTGTACTTACTTGATAAAGTTCTTCATTTTTCGAATTCTGCACTGCTGTTTTTTCTTGTGTCACTAATCCTGTTAAAAAATTGTCATTTTGTCAAAATTTTTACCCATTTTCCGATGATGAGGAATATTTTTATACACTTGATCTTATTATTCCACACGACAATATGTCGAGAACACGGAGGTAAGAAATTTTACATTTATTACCAAATATATTGATGAGAGCAATATTTGATTTGATGCGGCACGCATTCATTCAATTACTGCTCATCGAGTCAATAATTTGAAGAGATCTTTAATTGAATTGTTGCACGCATCAAATGAATTGATATCTTTAATTATGAATAATTAAAGGTATCTTTTGGCGATCCATCGACGGTAAATGCACATGCATTTACATGCACGTACGAATCAAGTATTAGTATTATCTCATTTCATTTGATGCAGATTTTGAGATGATGATAAATTGATCATTCAATCTTGCACAAGAGGTATATTTTCGACAGGAATATGTGTCAATAAGGAAGTAAAATTTCATCGATACTTTATCTATATTCTTTCACTTTAAATAGTAGTTAAGAGTGTTGACGTAACTGAAAGATGAAAACCTGTCTGAATTTTGCTTTAATTAGATGAAAAATGGTCCTATTAAAGTAAAAAAAAAAAAGCGTTTGTTGCAAAAAGTAACTGGCTTAAACCCATTTTCTTATTAGTTTATTGGCTCTGTGTCTTCTCTCTATGAATTTCAAATGTGTGACATCCATCTTTTGAACAGGTTGGAGAGAATACTCGAAATCGGGTATTATCCGTGAAATCGCGTATAGTCCTCGATATCAGGGTATTGTTGAATCCGCGAAATCGTGCAACTTTCTGTAAAAACAGAAAAATAAAGCAACGGCGTATTGTGTCAGTTAGTGTTACTTGTACATCAGTATGTTGGGAGTTTATTTTTATTGAACTCGATTTAAATGGTTGTCTGACAAGTTTAAAATCACACGAACAAACACTGCTGGGGTAGCAAAGAAGGCACGGTGGCGTCATTATTTTTCAGTACAAGTTCTAAAAACAAATAACTACATGTCTGTGTTTATTTCCCTATAAATTATTTCCCAAGCTTAATTTCTTAACCTGTGCATTATTCACAAAATGTAAAACTTTGAAGAAATTTAACGACTAACGCTGTGTTATGTATTTTTTACTTAAAAATGTATGGTGTCCCTTTCACGTTAAATTTAAATTATTCCTCAGTTGGTAAGTACATGTATTTCTCATGGATATAGAATACCGACGTTTTCGTAAGGGGGAAAAAATAAAATAAAAACAAACAAACAAACATAAAAAAAACAACAAAGGGTAAGCAGGTTGAAAAATTATATAAAATGAAATAAATTTAATATCTACATGTGTACATGCATGTAAACTGAAATACATTTTTAAAAATTAATACAGTGTATATTGATAGAGGTAAAGAATCTTTAGTAAAATCATCAGTTCCTCCTATGGTGTATGTATACAGTCCTGCAATTCCCGTGGGGAAAGGGGGAGGTGCGTATTTTTTAATGAAAATATTTTAATGTCAGTTTACCATGAAAATTTTCATTCAAAGAACCCGCCAATGTTTTGGTTGCATCTTGATTGATGCAAGCGACGTTATTTTACTTGTATGTGTTTGTGTGGAAATTGAAAACGAGATGTCTTGTTAAAAGGATTTTCGTTTAGCGGGGGGGGGGGGGGGCTTGGTTCATAAAAATAAATAAAAAATCCAATTCGCACATCTTTTCATGTGCTTATTATACATTCTCAATATAGAGTTAATATTCAAATATGAATTATATATTAAAGTTTTCACATATTATACTGTTTTTACTTTTTATACATATGAACAAACTGAAGTGGAGTGTTCAATCGCGTCTTAGCTTAAGTCTTGAGCTGCATTGTTTTTAATTAATCATCCATACAGATTGGAGACACTTTCTTTTATTATTATTATAGTATTGGATAGACAGGGTAGATTTTCCCTTCAGAGTCTGTAGTTTATTTTTAGGTTATATCGCTTTAAACCTCATTATAATACGTTATATGATTGATTCTAGACAGTACGTTACGTGACAGGGAACTAAAACTTCATAATTTCCTGTCTTTTCTGTAATCTGTGATACTTATTACTCATGGTTATCACTTTTTGTTATTATTCATCTATGGTGAAAAATGTGTTAAAAAATAAACATGAAGTTTAGTTATTTTTAAAACTTGTCGAATGTGATAGAAAATAACTTGTTTCGGTATATAAACAATTATTGCATGAATGTTTTGGAGATATGAAGAATTCATTTCACTCAAGAAGGCAAAATAGGGAATCAATATGATTTTTATTAGATGAATAGATCTTCTCTCTTTATCATGCAATGAATATATATCATTCAATGACGTTTAGCACAAAACTCTACAATAACATTTTACATTTAATTTGATTATTTTGAAAGGGGAGGGATTTTTCTCTTGGTCACATGCATAACACATTCGAGGTTAATTTTCGCTTGACCGAGATAGTCCGGACAAGGAATAATTAATGTAAGCAGCTAGTAACAACCGTTATAGCTATTCACTTTCGTCCCCTGAAGTCGCCGAAAAATGGTAAAATATTGCCGATTCAGCGAAATTAAATGATCAACAGTTATTTTCTCTCACAAGCTATGTTGCTGAGAACATCATTGTCTTTGCTAAAACGTTGGAGGCATGTTGAATCCAAAGGAAATTTTAATAATTTAAAAAAAAAAAAAATAAGAAAGAATATGTCGCCTTTTATAACTTCTGGGAATTAGCTTTAATTGTCATTCTCTGTTTATAAAACATATGTACTGGTACAAGATATATGAAAGGAATGCTATTCAACGACAAAAATATCAACTGATGAAAATAGATTCATAACACCCCCCCCCCTCCGAAAAAATACTAAATAATATACGCGTTATATTAGTTTTTGCCGTAATTTGAAACATTTTAACCATTAAATAGTTTATACATTTTGTAATGAATTATTTTTATGCACAAGATGAATGTTGAAGCAATTAATGACGCATAATTAAATACGATAGAAAAACCCCCTGTTTAAATGTAAGATTATTTTGTGTGTGAAATGTGTTTCCGTATTAATTGAATTATTTACAAAATGTTCATGTTTGTCGTATTGATGTGGAAATATGATAAATTCCAGACTTCTGATTTTTAATAGTTCTGTTGTATTGGGTATGAACATGAAGAAGATGCAAATACATTTAACATTATATAAAATATAAAAGCAGAACGAACGTTTGTTTTGGTGCAGATCATGAAATGTACTAAGCTCCACTGGTATTTGTTGTCCTATGCGCATTAATTCAGACTTAGACTTCCAAATTGTTATTTGGCTATTGATACCTTTAGATAACATTTTTCTCTAGGTGAAAGTTGACTCGGCAAAATGCGCCATCCCATTGTTAAGGAGGCTGGGGGGTCAACAAATTAACCATCAGATATAACTTATTCTTTTAGATATGATATCTTAAGCTGTCAACTATCATTTGGCAAAGAAAAAATTCATACATTTTAGTTTTAAAATTTGATCATTTTTGTATATCTTTATATGGAGCTCTTCTTCTAAAGGAGATCAATATAGTCTAAAAATGGCCACGACCACCCAGCCCTCTTAAGTTTTATAAGGTGATTACACCGCCTTTACCCGATTTCGCGGATACAACGATACCCCGATTTCGGGGACTATACGCGATTTCACGGATAATACCCCATTTCGAGTATTCTCTCCAACCTGTTGAAAGATGATTTTGTTGCATTTTATGAAAAGATGGAGCCGTGACCTAGACACTAAAAATATGAATTTTTGTGCTAAAAATCTTTCTGTGAATACCTACTGCTGCTGACATCGGACTTGACAATCCTCAAGCAGGATATTTTCTTTCAATTGAAGACAACCGAAAACCTTAAAGGACATATCGCATGTTAACGTTTCTAAATTATTTAAAATAAAAAGCCTATAACGTTCCTTATAAGCACAGTTTATGAATTTTGTGTTTTTACTGTGGATAAATCGCGGTAATTAACCAATTATTGACTCAAATTAAAACCCCTGATTTAAGAATCCAAGTTAATTAGATAGCAATCACGTGACCCTGTGACGTCAAAGACGACAATGGCTGATCAGCTGTTCACGTTTCAAGGTATCACAGCGGTAATTGTTTTCACTATATAATTCTATATAGAATAAAAAATCATTAAAAATCAGGTATTCGAATTCATGAAAAAATATTTAGCAGGAAGTGTTAAACGTTACCAGTCACATCAGCTGACACCACAAATAGGGTACCTACACATTTTCTGATTTTTTCCATCCGCAAACAGGAATACCCTCAAAACCACGTGTATTCAATGTGTTTATAAACATCCTGTGTGTACCCCAGGAAGTGGCCTCCTATGCCCCGAAAGAAATAGTTCCTGTCAAAAACCTTTAATATTTTACAAAGTACATAAAATATCCTAAGCACAGATACCAAAAATGTAAAAATAGAATAAGGGAAAATATAAAGTTTCTCACAATAAAAAAAATATTTCTTTATTATGTAAGGAACTACAATTGACTAAGTTCATTTTGATTGGTCAATTACCGGTGTGATACTTTGAAGTACCTTTGAAGTTGTCAGATTTTTTTCATCTTTGCACCTGAGATTTCTTAAATAACTGTCATCAACCATGGCCGTAGGAACCGGGGGGGGGGGGGGGGGGCACGGGGGGCCGTGCCCCCCCCCCCAATAATTTTGCCGATAAATAGAATACTATAGAAAACATAGCTGCTATATGCTTGTGCCCCCTCAATAATAACGTCTGATGACCTTTTTTTTGGGGGGGGGGGGGGCTTGTCGGGGAATTTTGGTAGTTGATAGTGCCCCTTCAACTGAAAATGTATGGTTGTGCCCCCTCAAAGTGAAATTGCTTCCTACGGGCCTGTCAACATCCTTAAGTCTTGGGATCTAATTCCCATTATTGCTGGAGATATGATGCATTTATCTCCCTTACTCCAGAGCAGTCAAGAATACACATATTAGAGCACTCTGACAGAAGTTTTTTGTGCATATTTTGAAGCAGAATTTCATCCTTAATAGACTAAGCCTGGCAACCAATTTTGTATCCGTG